TAAGAGTGTATGATGATATTTTGATTAAAGCTTATTAAATTAAATCTGCAACAGTCGAGTGCATGAAGTGTCCAACATCCACACTTCATTTGGTTAATAATTTAGTGTATTATCCGGTTATAAGTGCACTTTTTCTTTTTGTAATTTCCAGTGTGAACACACTACTCACACTAATACTTCACATTTACAAGTCATAGAATAGTGCACAAGACATTTCTCAAAATATCTTCTTTTATGCTCCATAGAAGAAAGTTTTGTGAATACTATAATTATTTTTAGTCTTTTCAGTCAATTTAAAATGTATTAGTAAATGTTGAAATTAACAGTTAGTTAATTAATTAGTTAATGCTAAAATAGCACTCTATTGTAAAGTGTTACCATTTCATGTTTTCATGTAAAGAAGGCCAGAGCATTAAAAACACATAAATGTAGATATAAATTGTACAATCTCTCACTTTATTTGCGTCTACTTTAGAGCACTTGATGATTATCTAATCAAAATAACAATATATTGTAGTGATAAAAAAGAACTGAGTGAAATCCAATGCTACATGAACACATCAATGTTGAGAAAGCAACCGCGTCAGTAGCTTTAAATATGCAACTTCGCCACCAATCAACTATCTATGGAAGCTTGTTTCCGCCATTGACTTTTTTTCTCACAATTGCGAGTTTATATCTCACAATTCTGACTTTATTTCTCAGAATTGCGAGATATAAAGTCAGAATTGTGTGATATAAAGTCAGAATTGCGAGATATAAAGTCAGAATTGCGTGATATAAAGTCAGAATTGCGAGATATAAAGTCAGAATTGCGTGATATAAAGTCAAAATTGCGAGATATAAAGTCAGAATTGCGTGATATAAAGTCAGAATTGCGTTATAAAGTCAGAATTGCGAGATATAAAGTCAGAATTGCGTGATATAAAGTCAGAATTGCGAGATATAAAGTCAGAATTGCGAGTTATAAAGTCAGAATTGCGAGATATAAAGTCAGAATTGCGTGATATAAAGTCAGAATTGCGAGATATAAAGTCAGAATTGCGAGTTATAAAGTCAGAGTTGCGAGATATAAAGTCATAATTGCGAGTTATAAAGTCAGAATTGCGAGATATAAAGTCAGAATTGCGAGATATAAAGTCAGAATTGCGAGATATAAAGTCAGAATTGCGTGATATAAAGTCAGAATTGCGAGATATAAAGTCAGAATTGCGTGATATAAAGTCAGAATTGCGAGTTATAAAGTCAGAATTGCGAGATATAAAGTCAGAATTGCGTGATATAAAGTCAGAATTGCGAGTTATAAAGTCAGAATTGCGAGATATAAAGTCAGAATTGCGAGTTATAAAGTCAGAATTCCGAGATATAAAGTCAGAATTGCGTGATATAAAGTCAGAATTGCGAGTTATAAAGTCAGAATTGCGAGTTATAAAGTCAGAATTGCGAGTTATAAAGTCAGAATTGCGAGTTATAAAGTCAGAATTGCGTGATATAAAGTCACAATTCTGAGAAAAAAAAGACAGAAGTGTGACTTTTTTTCTCACAATTGCGAGTTTACATCTCGCAATTCTGACTTTATATCTCGCAATTCTGACTATAACACATAATTGCGAGTTTATATGTCAAAATTCTGACATCTTTTCTCAGAATTGTGAGATTTAAACTCGCAATTGCGACTTATTAGGCCAATTCTAATATCCCTCAGAATAGTTTATAGTATATCTCACAATTCTGACTTTATATCATGCATTTCTGACTTTATAACACACAATTGCGACTTTATATCTCGCAATTCTGACTTTATAACTCACAATTCTGACTTTATATCTTTAAAATTCTGACTTTATATCATGCAATTCTGACTTTATATCTCGCAATTCTGACTTTATATCTCATAATTCTGACTTTATAACTCGCAATTCTGACTTTATATCTCGCAATTCTGACTTTATAACTCACAATTCTGACTTTATATCTCGCAATTCTGACTTTATAACTCACAATTCTGACTTTATATCTTTAAAATTCTGACTTTATAACTCACAATTCTGACTTTATAACTCACAATTCTGACTTTATAACTCACAATTCTGACTTTATATCTTGCAATTCTGACTTTATATCTTTAAAATTCTGACTTTATATCATGCAATTCTGACTTTATAACTCGCAATTCTGACTTTATATCTCGCAATTCTGACTTTATATCTCGCAATTCTGACTTTCCATCTTGCAATTCTGAGAAATAATGTCAGAATTGCGAGAAGTAAACTCACAATTGTGAGAAAAAAAGTCAGAATTGTGAGATAAAAAGTCGCAATTACCTTTTATATTTTTCATTCAGTGGCGGAAACAAGCTTCCATAACTACCGGCACCGATATATCGGCAAAACCCGTCGACCCCTATTAATGACCAACACAATCTATCAGATAGCGTCTGGTTTAAGACGTGCTTTTATGAGCGGTAAATAACGCTGCAAATACCAGTAGATTGATTTATTAAGCCTTTACTTATGCGGTCCATGGGCTTATCAGGTCACATCTCCCCTACACATTAAACCAAGTGTGTGAACAGAGCTTTTCTCAACTTGCTGCTTCGACCTGTGTGTGTGTGTGTGTGTGTGTGTGTGTGTGGACTTCACTGGCAGAGTATGTAACTACAGTAAACACACAGAGGCAGACAGGGAACAGATGGACACACTAATTGACCTGCTGAACCGGCTCAGGCCAGCCCCTTTAAAGCAGGATAATGTCCCGGGAAAAACACCCGCCAAGACACGCGAAGAATCAAGCCGCCCCGGGAAAACTCGGGATTAGAGCGAGGTGCACTGGAGATAAAACTCATTACTTTTATTGATCAGGATGTTGCTTTTGTTCGAGCGTGGGACGGCCAGGTCCTAGAGCGGCACATTTACAAAAAAACACTGCTAGGCAACTCCAACACAGCACACTCATTAGTGGTGTTTACTGAGACAACACATGTGTGTGTGTTGAAACCCATAACTGAGGGAAAGTTCACCCCAAATTTAAGTGTCCTTCCAAACCTGAAATTCTGGCCTTGCCTTGGAAACACCTAAAATCTAAAATAGTTGTGGTACTAATTTACTAAAACCAATTCAAAGAACACAAAACATACGCTTATAACATAAAAATGGCAAAAGCACACCAATTACTAAACTTAAATTTAAATAAATAAAAAAATTCTGTGGAAATTCTTTACATAGTTGAGGGGGTCTGACATAGTTTTGAAGTACTTTAAAACACAAACTAGTAAATCACAAAAGCACATCAATTACTAAAACTTAAATTCTGTGGAAAATATAAGAATTCAAAATTCTGTGGGGGGAAAAAACAGTTTCTGACATATTGGACCCCATTGACTTTCATTGTATAGAAATTTTTTTGTGTCCCACTGAAGAAAGCAAGTCATTGGTGTGTGTGACTCATCCTGCCCCTTCTGTGCTAGCGACGCGAATGGTGTGTGTCGTGTCGAGGAGCGCTCTATGATCACTTATCCAAACGGTTAGAGTTACTCCGATCCTCAGCCACCATTACAGGTGCTTTTCTGTCTCTAAACTCTGCGTGTGATTGGCCACACAGATGGTGTCCATGACGATAGCATTCCTGTCCCAGCGTCCTGCATAATTAAAGGAGCCAGTAATTAGCGGAATCAAGCCCTGGGTCGGTTTACAGCCGTGAGAGGGTGATCTTATAGTCCACGACTAAAGCTGTGAGGTCCACGACATCCAAAACCAGCCTTAATTACATCATAACCACACTATGCACTCGTGACATTAAAGACTGCAGAATCAATAACGAAAAGTTAACTCATAATAATTTTAGTATTTAATTAATAAAAATAATTAATTATTTGGGAATCTATCAAATTTCTATCGAATCTGAATAAAAAAAAAATAAAAAGGCAATTGACTTTTTTTTTTTTTAAATTTAAAGTTAAAGTTTACATCTCACAATTCTGACTTCTTTTTGCAGAATTATGAGTATATCTCATAATTATAACTTCCAATTGTGAGTTTACATTGCGTGAAATAAACTCATAATTGGAAGTTATGAAGTCAGAGTTGTGAAATATACTCATAATTCTGCAGAAAGAAGTCAGAATTGAAAGATATAAATTCACGAGTTATAAAGTCAGAATTGTGATATATCAACTTGTTTCCCCCCGTCAGAATAGGACTATATAACACACAATTGTGAGTTTAGGCTATACCACAGAATATTATTATTATTATTATTCAGTGGTGAAAACAAGCCTCCATAGATGTCTCCTTTCGTGTCCCACAGAAGAAACAAAACGTGAAAAACGTGAAGGTGAGTAGTATAGAAACTAATTGAACAAACTCTACAGAGAGGGCAGGTGTGTAGAGTTGCTGTCCTGTGGTTCACAAAGAGTTAAACTAGAGGACTATGAGCCATACTGACTATGGAGTCAAACTAGCCAGACTTAGCAGCTGCTCATTATGTCAACATCATCATATTATCTTAAAGCAGGGGAATACTAGTGTCTCTAAAAGACACACCGCAATGTCACAGCCTGACCTTGGGTGTTTAAACCCAGAAAAGTCCCCCGGTGTTGGCCAACAGGGTCCAGTTCAGGGCCCGAAGCTTCACAACTCAAGCGCACAGGTGTTCAACATAACCGCATCTCAGGACGGCACGGAGACATAAACAACGGGCTTGTGTTTCAATGATCTCATATGGGGTCCAGTTCTTCGCAGATGGTCTGAGGAAACACCGCATATGAGACTCAAAATACACATAGGCTTCAGATATATCAGCAGAATAACTCCAGAGGAGACTTTCCCGTCTGTGGAGATGCGTGGCTGCCATTCATCCATTTTAATCAGCTTATCAATAATATCTAGAGGACACTGGCGACGGGAGCTCTCATTCCTGAAGGAAATTAGCCGTTGGTGTGTGTTGTGTGTGTCTGTGTCAGAGAGAAGAAAATAAAACCATGAAACGGAAGCGGTACGTACCAGCGGTTCGGTGTCCACATCGTTTCTTGGCGCAGAAACCGAGAAACCCGATGCTGTGAATTAGCGAAGCTCCAGTCGCGGTTGTTTTTTATTTTATTTTTATTTTTTTATCCCAGTCGGTCAGTGGTCAGTCCCCGCAGATAATCACAGTAATATTGGAGGGTATTGTCAAGGTTAGGTGTATGAAAGTGAGGAAAAGTGCTGTGTGTGGCTGGATTTGAAGGCAGTTTAGACGGATGCTGCGGTAACGGGGACTGCAGGTCTGCGGTAAAGCCCGGACCGGATCCCAGCCAGAGACACTGGACGCCGGAGACACGCAACACCGGGAGCCTGGATCACATGACGGATTCCGGCTGGAGTTTCTCACGTTATCGACACGGACACACACACACACACACACACACACACACACACACTGATAGGATAAAAAATATATTATGGGGTGTGTGTGTACACACACATATATTGTGTAAAAAAATATACAGGACAAAATGAAATAGGATAAGGGCAATGTTCAGACGATCACACGCAAACCTAATATTGTTGAGGTTGCTATCTATTTGTCTGCCAGGGCTGCAAACCGAAGAGCTTATTAAATTAGGAAACATCCAAATATAAATATATTAAAATAATAAAAAATAAATAAATAAATATTGAAACCTCATGGATTTAAGAAATGAACGAGACTTATTTGAACCCTAATGAATGATTGCAATATTAGTTCATACATAGCCTAACATTTTTAAAAATGGTATGATGCAATATTATAAACAAGTGTTCATTCTGGTCACATGAGACCACAGCTATATTGTTTCAAATTCTGTTTGTTTTTTTAGTCTACATGTGTAATAACATCATATTTGATTGGACTGCCAAACTCAGTCAATATACACTGTAAAAAATATTTTCAAGATTTGTTATCACAACATATTTTCTTTTGTCAAATCAACTTTATAATAATTTATTTAGTTGAGATAACTTATTATTTTGAGTTTCTGATGGTTAAATTAATCTCCTTCATTGTATTAACTCACTTTTTCCAGTTCAATGAACTTAAAATTTTAAGGCAACCAGGTTACTTACTTTTTTAAGTTAAACCATCAATATTTTTTTACAGTGTACTCAATTGAACTACATTGTGCTACTGTAGCCAACAAGCACACGCATAGCTGTTTAAATTAGGCTACTGTTCATTTTGAAAAAGTATTGGGTCATTGAGGTTCTTCAGTGAATGTAGATGATCTTTTTTCATTCAGTGAAAACATTCACAGCAATGTAATACGCTATTCTGAATAGCCTAAGTTGTTTCTGCGCTGGGTGTTGTAAAGGCGGTTAATATCCTAAATATTATCTAATCAAATTGTATTATTAAATGGTCAATATTTTTTACAAAATAGTAATGATTTATAAAACGGATAATTCCGGTCCTTGATTCTGATTGGTCGAGCCGCGTTCGAAGCCGTTGTAAATGACCCCAAACACACACCTGTGACCACACACACACACACTCACATACAAATACCTGTGAGCGCATTACATTAGTGTTACACACACACCTGTGAACGCATTACATTAGTGTTACTGTGCAACAGCCATTTATGGTAATTCTTCGTTGCTGCATGTGTTGCTTGGCAGCCTCTTTGGAACTACATTGCTTAGCGGAGGAATAAATGTTATATTTCTTGTTGCTAATAAATATTAAAATAAATATTTTTATGGAGTAACCGTTTTATAAAAGCAATAAACAATTTGAAACCGTGTTTTACAGTGAATTTAGAACAGCTAAGGGGCGTTAGGCACGATGCAAAGCGGAGCTTATTGTTTAACAACAACACAAAAAAAATGTGTTTAAAACTGAGCTGAATTAAAATGATTAAGGTCTTGAAAGCCTATTCCTCCACTTACAACAGATCAAACAGAATCAGATTCATTTGAAAATGACACCGCTGATCACTGGAAGCCACTGAACGCCCCCTGCTGGACAGAGAAGAAACAACATCTGGCGCTTCTGCGATGACTTCACGGTTTGGCTGATGTCACCACTTACATTTGTTCCTTTGCTAAATAAATATCCTATTTCCCTCAAACATGAAGTAAATCAAATTGAGAACATCATTTCAAGTTAACTTCCAGTTCTCTTAAAGGGATATTACCCAAAAAGTTTTTACTCACCCTCATGTTGTTGATCTCTTTATGAACTTGTTTAAGTTGTAGTTGCGTATCGGTCAATGGAGGGACAACAAGCTCTCAGATTTCATCAAAAAGATCTTCATTTGTATTTCGAAGATAAATAAAAGTCTTATGGGTTTGGAACAGTTGGTGAGTAATTGAAATAATTTTAATTAACTATCCCGTTGAATACACGTACAGATCTGTAAGAGCCTGTATCCAGTTAAAACAAGTCCCCCTGTAGACAATCATTTTTTATCCTATAAAACTCATCTTTGATCACCAAAATGATTTTTAAATGTTCCTGCCTTAAAATATCTTGAATGTAACTCGACACCCTTGCCTCATTTAGTATACACAGTTCTACGAATATGCAAATGAGCCCCACCTCCAATCACTCCCTCAGCTCAGAGATCCACTGGTTGACTATCACACGTTGATCTGATTGGTTACAAGGTCGTTTGTGACATCAGAAACACCAGCGACATCAAACCATGTTTTTGAGACTGCAATGCTGTGGACTTATGAATTTACACATGATTTGTCTTAAAACATGTTAAAAACACCACACAGACAGCTTAATTTTTAACGAGGGACTTTAACAGGAACTAAGAAACACCATTTAAGACAGCTTAATTTGTCAAACTCTTTATTTGTAATTCCATACAGATCAAACACATCCAGAGTCCATGCATTAGCTCAAACTCAGCTGACATTTGTCTGTCACCTTCGTTAACTGGGATAGTTCACTCAAAAATAGAATTAAAAATAAATGTCATGATCTACTCATCATCACGTCATGCCAAACCTGTATGACTGTATGAAGCCCCAACAAAGAGTCAATGGGGTCCAATGCTGTTTCACATGTTCTTTCAGAAAACATTCTTTAAAATAAATAATATAGTCGGTCACATGTTTAGAATGACATGGATGAGTAAATTATGAGAATTTAAATTTTTGGGTGAACCATCCCTTCAAGTGTCTGAATTACTGGCAGTTTGCTAAAACTAAATAAACAAAACAAAAAAGGAGACAGAAATCAAAAACACTTTGATATAAAAGAACTGAAATGGCAGTACGGCAGTCAGTGTCCGTCGTGTCATCGCAAATACTCGTCCAGTCATGTCGGGGTCATGCGTCATGTCACTTAAAACTCTGTAAGAACAAACACATCATAGTCAGAGTTACACAAGTCCACAATCTCCAGGAAACACATATCAAATAATGACTCTATTTAGGTCTGAACTTCAAAATTTAAAGGGATAATTCACTTTGAAATTAATTTTTGGTATGTTTTATCTTACCTCAAGGGCACCCAAGATGTAGGTGTCTTTGTTTCCACAGTAGTTTCAATTTTGATATTTGTAGGTGTCTGTCAGTCATATAATGGAGGTCTATGGTCACCACCTCAAAGAGCATGCACAGAGAAGTCCAAATTAAACATGATTTAATGACTCGTAAATGTAAGTACACATTGATGGCCTAAGACACGAAACGAGCGGTTTGTGTGAGAAAACCAACAGTATTTTTATCGCACAGCCACAAAGCGCCCGCGCCCTCAGATCAATTGGACGTGGCTGTGGCTACAAAAGGTAAAAACGTTATAAATACTGTTGGTTTTCTCACACAAACCGCTCGTTTCGTGTCTTAGGCCATCAATGTGTACTTACATTTACGAGTCATTAAATCATGTTTAATTTGGACTTCTCTGTGCATGCTCTTTGAGGTGGTGACCATAGACCTCCATTATATGACTGACAGACAAGAACGGTTTGACCTAAAAATATCAAAATTGAAAATACTGCGGAAACAAAGACACCTACATCTTGGATGCCCTTGAGGTAAGATAAAACATACCAAAAATTAATTTCAAAGTGAACTATCCTTTTAACCTTACTTTAAAGTAAAATTTTGCCTAATTTTTCCATCTTGATATTGGTAATTGTGCCGAATTCAGGTTCAAAGTTCAACTAACTTGAACCCAGTGCTGCCTTGCGTACATCAGAGCATGTCACAAGAAGAGCCAGTCATGACAGTTTGATTCAAGTGAATGACTCACATTAAGACTAGTAAACAGTCTTAGTCAGGTAGAAATTAGAGCCCGACCGATAAAGGATTTTGAAGGCCGATACCGATACAAATATTTTTGGGTTTTAAAATCCGATATTTCGGTCGATATTTTTTTTGTTTTATTAAATATTGTTGGATTTCACACATGTGTAAAAGAAAATCTAACTTTTCTGCACAAGATGCGTTTGATACTTTTTCTCTATGTCTAAATGTTCACTCCTCGCAAGTCTAACTTACATTTTACAATGCAGGGACTGTAACTAGAGATATGCGAGTTATAAATACAGTAATCATTACTTTATTTAGGCAGAAAAAGTTCATTGTGGTTTCCAAGCTCATTAATGTTAACGTTAGCGGTCTTCCACTGATGATAGTGGCATTAGCTAGCTTTGTGGTTAGCTAGTCTATGATGAGCCATAATTTAGCAATAGATAACGTCATACTGCAAATTGTAAAACATACATTTTCAATATAACAAGCCAAGAAGAGATGATTAAAGCGTGTTTCGTCCCTTTTTTTTTTTTTTTTTTTTAATATTCATTTATCGGCCAGTATAACTGCCGATACCGATATTATGGAAAATGCCTAATATCGGCTGATAATATCGGCCGGCCGATATATCGGTCTGGCTCTACTAGAAATAAGTGCAATTCACATTTCCACCACTAGTGGCAGTGAAATCACAAACTGCACCTCTACACGAAGCTAGAAAAATGATTACAAGGGCCATACAATAACTATATGATCACTAATCAAATGTAGAGGACCGATACGAACTGCATGCTTCGTTTGACGAGACATCGTTATCTGACTGATAGAGAAATAAACGAATCCCCCAAAAGAGATGCCGATGTTAAAGGATTGTGTCTCCAGGTGTCAGTTCGGTTTTTCACAGCATGTCTCAAGTCGTCAACTTATTCGTAAACAAGTTCACTCTCGACATCAAGTTATAAAGAATATAACGGATTGTGTCATAATTTTCATCTAGTTTTTCTGGATTGTCTTTATTTGTACTCACAGCA